TAATGATTTCATTCAATGTGACCTTTATTCCACGGCAGTTTGAAATTCAAATGAATCTTGAAAAAGCCTTGTTTTTTTTTTTTTGTTTTTTTAACCCATTTTATTTGGTCCATTTAATTTTGTAATTTGGCTGTTTCAATATTTGTTTGTTCTCTTGAATAATTAAATACGAGTTGGTTGACGTCCTTGAAAATTTTCATAACAATAATAATAATAATAAGTTATTAAATTGTATAAATCTCATTATTTTTCTCTTAAAACAAAATTTCTATTGTCAAGTAAAGATTAAAATTATAAATAAATAAATAAAAAGTCAGGTTGCTAAAATAACCATAAACCCGAAGTGGAGGGTTTGATTTGAAAGTAAGAGGCGGGAGATTATTTATTTTTGGGTAAAATAACAAATTAAAAGGGGAAAAGAGAAAAGGAAGCATGCGGTTAAATGATGATAAGGAGTTGTTGAATGGCGTGAGGCTGGCTAGGTCATCTCAGCTAACGCATCCACCGGATTTGCTTCTTTCTCTCTCTCATTCGGTTACTACCTGAATCTCCCTCAGTTTCCTCGCTCTCTGCCATTTCCTTTCTCCTTCTCTCTGTGAAATTAGGGTTTCCACTCTGAACACGTTCGATGATCCTGCCACTGGCGGTTCTGTGGAAGGAGACGCTTGTTTCCTGCTGATCTCGATATTTGTTTTGGCGGACGATGACGGAGATTCTACGAAGAAGTTGAAAGAAATCGGGACTGTTCGATTATTGAGTGAATTATTCGAAAAATCTGGAGCTTACTAGGTACAGGCATTGTCGATTTGTGATCGGAATCGAGCGGCGGTGGAAATGAGCGCCTCGAGATTCATAAAGTGCGTGACCGTCGGCGATGGTGCAGTTGGCAAGACCTGCATGCTGATTTCCTACACCAGCAACACTTTCCCTACCGTGAGGCTCCACCTAATCTCCTACGTTCTGTTTCTTTCTTCTTTTTTTCTTTTTTTTTTTTAATCCCTTTCTTCAGTCGAGATTAGTTAAATTTGTTGCGTGATTGCTTTTTTGATGTTGATAATCAGCTGCATTTCTCTTCCTTTTAGAGGAATTTATCTATTGGTTCTCTAATGATCTTTACAGACTGTATTTTGCATATTCGTTGTTGTATCAGTGGTGGAATTAGATTTGTTTATATATTTTTGCAACTTTTGATTTGGTTGTAAATGTGTAATCAATAGTAGGGACATCAGGTTTGACCGGATCCTTGCAACTAATTTGCAGAATCCGTCAATATATTAGGATTACCTTTTGATTCATGATTTGGCATTTGCGGGATGATCTTGGTCTACTGTGAAGATTCTTTAGATTTGATGCTTTGACTAGTGTGATTACATATTTTTTGTCTGTTTGTCAATTTGATATGGACGGCAGCTAGTGGCAAAGTTGATACTCTGCAAGGCAGCCTCTATGGCCTTAAGCCTTTTTGTTTAATATGAAAATTAGACTTCAGGTCTCTAGTCTGAAGTTTCGTGGGAAAGATACTGATGTGGCTTTTCTCTTTGTTTGGAACAAATTTCTCAAATTTTCGATCCATATTTCTTTGAATATTTTCAGTATTTTATTCATTCTTAATTATTAATGCATAACTTGTAATTTTGATGGGAACAGGACTATGTCCCAACTGTTTTTGACAATTTCAGTGCAAACGTGGTTGTTAATGGAAACACTGTCAACTTAGGGCTATGGGATACTGCTGGTAATTTGGAACTGGCATCTTAAATCTCTTCATGTGTTTTTGGAAGTTTGACTTCTTTCTTGCATTGAGTTTGAATTCATCACATGTGAACAGGTCAGGAGGATTATAATAGATTAAGACCTTTGAGCTACCGTGGGGCAGATGTCTTTATTCTTGCCTTTTCTCTCATCAGCAAGGCCAGTTATGAAAATGTTGCCAAGAAGGTTGAAACTAGTGAATGTTTACTCTTCTGTGATAATAAATTTGCTTGGCATGTCATATCTGTACCTGTGTGCTGATTAATTTTTTGATTGACAGTGGATTCCAGAATTGAAACATTATGCGCCTGGTGTTCCGATTGTTCTTGTTGGTACAAAGATTGGTATGATACTTATTCTCCTCGATTCTAGCTCATTAGTGACTGATATTCTTCGTACATGCTTGTAATCAGTCATATATATATATATATATATTTCTTTCTTTCTTTCTTTCTTTCTTTCCTGTATAAATATTGACAGAGTTGTTTGTCTCCCATATATTGTTCTGCTTCCCATGTATTTATGACCTTCTTTTTTGCTTACTTTTGATTGAGCTGGTCTTCTTTGTTGCTGGCTAGTTAATCATTGCATAAAGAATCCATTTTACATCATAAATACCATGCCTTTTTATTAATTTATCAAGTTGTCTAAAGATGTTATGCTACTAATTATGGTGATGACTGAAATATCTCATAATTTTTATTCTCAAATTATTTGGATGTTCTTGCAAGTTGTAACTGGATGGCCTCGGAAATTTTCACAGTTTCATGAAATATATTCTTTATGCTTTCTGATATTTTAAATTTGCAGATCTCCGAGATGATTCGTCTTTTTTTGAAAACCATCCTGGTGCAGTGCCAATTACTACAGCTCAGGTAGACATTACTTCATTCTGAATTCTCTTGTTACTCTGATTTTGTCTTATATATTGGGTCTTGTTGTGCTTCTCGCTGAAGGGGGAGGAATTAAAAAAACAAATAGGGTCTCCTGCCTATATTGAGTGCAGTTCAAAGACACAGCAGGTATAAATATTTGCTTCAGTGTTGATATCTTATTTGCTTTTTTATTTAAAAGTTGTGTAGAAACTCCTCTTCTGATGCAGTTTGTTTGATGTTTTAACTGCAGAATGTGAAGGCAGTTTTTGATGCAGCCATAAAGGTAGTGCTCCAACCACCTAATCAGAAGAAAAAGAAGAAAAGGTCGCAAAGAGCCTGCTCAATTTTATGATCAATCGGATGATTAGGTTTTACAGATAAGTAGAGCCGCCAGCCTCTAGCTGCTGTTTCTCTGTCACCTTTTCCATTCCTCGTGGGGGCAGCAAACCAGGGTGTGTATAGCCTTGACTGACGCACTGGGCGTTTATCCAAAGGCATCAGATGGTTTGTTTCTTTTTTTTTTTTTTAATTATTTTAATTATTTTTTTAACTTAATTCTCATGATCTTTCATTCATAGAGTTCCTTGTTAATGTGCACACCTCTACTTTTTATTTTACTCATTTCTCATGTATTAGCCAGATGTGAGGATTGATCTTATTATATGATGAACTTTTCTTGTCACATCACGGTCCCTTTTTTTTTTTTGAAAAAAAAAAAAGAAAAAAAAAGTTGATTTAATGATCTTTGTTTTCAATGGCATGACTTGCAAATGTGTCAAGCAATTGCTAATATTGAGATGTCATGAGAAGTGATCTGCGCATCTGTGGTGGTGGAATAAAATTTTTGGGTTATGAATCCACGCTAGATAATGGTTGATGAGTGATAGAAAATTGACTTCACACGTTGCGTTGTTCAAGGGAGAGATAATTATTAGCGCAGACCTAACCTTCAACAAGCCGGTGGGCCCTACGCAGAATCTCGTTGTGCACCACTATGCCCAACACAGGAACTTTTAATGGGCCAGTGTTCCCGATTCGAACATTTTATGGGTCATTGGCCCAATTGGGAAACTTTTACTACGCCTACTGGCTGGGATCGAAACAGTTTTTTTGTGGGCCATGAGCCCAATCCATGAACATTTTAAGGGGTCATATCTAACTTTTGGTGGTCCCATATGGGCCCCTTGATTCAGAGATTGCAAATTTGCAATGGGCCAGATCAGCCTGAGATTTTATCAAGAAACATTTTGCAGGCTCAAATGCCAATCCAAATACCTTTGTCCTCGGTAACACCGACTTAACCTTCTGGTTCAGAACTTCAGATGGTGAGAGAGTGAAAAAGACGGGGCACTCATAAACTCAATCTAAAACTTTGAGTGGGCCAACATAATCCAGGTGATATTTTCCCGGGTCAAGGGATAAAATGGTCTAATACATTAAAAAACCTCATCCAAGCTCAGCCCGTAAAATAATTTTGTTTTATATTTTGTTGGCAAAAACCAACATTTAGCCTCTCATATTACAAAATTGGTAGGTTTTAGCCCCTCACCTTATAATATGACAGTTTTAATCCTTTATCTTATAAAGTTAGTAAGTTTTAGCCCATCACCTTACAAAATTGATAGTTTTTAACCCCTTACCTTATATTATGATATTTTTAGCTCATTATTGATACAAATTAAAGAAAATAACCCTCACTTAACATCATGTTATAACGTTTTGTTAGTTCTGTTAATATCCGTTAACATTTCGTTATAAAAAATAGGTTAAATACCCTTTTTGGTCCCTCCGTTAAATTTTGGCTTACGTGGCATGTTAA